GGCGGAGGCATGGGAGGCGGAATGGGCGGAGGAATGGGCGGAGGAGACATGGGATACAACGGCATGGGAGCAGGAGGTGGAGGCATGGGAGGAGCAGGCATGGGCATGAGCAGCGCGCAGGGAAGCCCCGGCAACCCCGTCGCACGCGACTTCGGCAACGGCGTGGGCGGGCGGCCGCGTGGGATCCGACGCGTTAGCTCCGCCTCCGTCGTGGGCGGCGCGGGGATGCGGCCGGGGATGGGCGGGCAGATGGGGATGGGGGGAGGCATGGGAAGCATGACGGCCTCGCCGGCGGGGTCGCCGATGCTTGGTAGTAGCAGGGCGGGGTCAGGGATGTCGGGTATGGCAGGTGGGGTATTCCAGGCGGTCTACCGGGCGCAGGGCTTGGAGGAGGTAGGGGAGGGCGGGATTCGGAGGGGCGGCGGGAATGGGTGGCGCAGGCATGGGGGAGGGGCAGGCATGGGGAGAGCCTACCCTGGAACCGCAGGCGCGATGTGCCCACCCAACGTTGCGTATTCTGGCGGTCCAGGCGGGGCGGGCCTCGGGGTGTGTACGCGCAACCCGCCATGGCTGGTGCGCCTGTTGGCGGCATGCCGGCTGCCGGTATGGCTGGTGCGTACGGCGGGTATGGAGGCTATGGGTACGGCCAGAATGGGCTAACCGTGCCGCAGGGAGGAACAGTCATTATTGATAGGGAGAGGAGGCCGAGGTCGCACAGGCATCGTGCGAGGAGCGTTGACACGCGGTACAGGAGTTGAGAGAGTAGTTTGGAATGCAAGGCTCGCGGATATGGGTGCAAGTTCGTGATTTAGGCATCGGTAGATGACAGTGATACGGTGGCATTGCGCATACTAGGATATACCTCATGTACACGATACCTTACGGAACATGGTGATGACATGCATTTCGGTTTCTTGTACCAACAGACGTACCGAACAGTTGACGACTAGTTTCGATGGTAAGTACAAGGCCCAGATGACGCCTTGACAGCACCTCAGCATCGCCCGCGGTGAATCGAATATGAAGTGCGCGATTGACGCCGACAGTGCTCGTGTAACAACCAGTAGTGTGGAGTCTTCGCAGCAGCCGTGGCGGTGAAACACAGACACCAACCTCATTGAAGGTTGTACCAGGCTCTCCCAGAAACGGCGAGACCTGTCTGATGAAGAACGGACCTCAAGCATTGACAGAACACATGCATTTGAAAATGAAACGGCCATCACTCACATTGCGCTCACAGAGATCATTTCGGATTCTGTCACCAAGCAAAAATGAGCACCCACGTCTCTAAAGCATCGCACTGCAGCCAAGTGCTCGTGTGCATAGTTTGAGCAGTATCCTGCGGCCGAGATTACACGTCGCTCCCTGTCATATTTTAACATTCGAGCGTTCCATAGCGCTTGCGAAGGGGCATCCCCGTGCATCACCGTCCAGGCGGTCACGCCCCATTTTGTCTCCGCCCATATCTCCATGACGTGGCCTGTCTTCCCATGTCATCGCGTCTTCTTCGACTCGGGCGGTGTTGGCGTGCCTTCTCGTGTCGTCGTTAACTCGTCGCCGTCCTCGACCATAGCCTCGCCTTCGCCGTCATCGTCCGCCTGCTCCGCCCACCACCGCCCTGCCTGCAGTAGGATCACGCCCGTGAGCATGACGCTGCACACGAGGTGCGAGGACGCGAGCTGGAGTGTGGGCCCGCGGAGATAGGCTGGGAACGGCGGCAGGGAGGTTGATGACAGGGAGGCTGAAGGGGATTGGGAGGGGAAGGAGAGGTACGTGAAGTTCGTGGAGAGATCTGTGCGCGCCGTTAGTGCGAGCTCAGACGCGCGTGCGTAACCGGCACAAGTACTCACTTGGTAGGACGTCATGAGCATAGACATATATTCCCGCCCCGTACAGAACTGCACAGTGTCAATACTTATACGGGAGTCGATATGATGTGAATGCGCACAGATGCTTCCCCCGTCAAACATCAGATTCCCCGCGCGTCCGTCACGCAGGCTCCATAAAATTGTGAGTGCGCCGACCCCCGCTACGCCAGCGTACATGTAGGCCAGCGACGCCGGCATGCGTGCCAGCACGGCGTAGTACGCCGCCGCCGCCCAGAGATGTGCATCCGTCTGTGTGTCGGGCGACTTCCAGAGCGTGAGCGAGTCGGCGGTCCAGTGGGTGAAGAGAAGGCCTGTTGGGCGTCAGCGGAGGGTCTGAAGCGCAGAGCGAGCGCGGCTGCTCTGCCGCACTGAGCTCGGACGCACCGAGGAGAAAGGAGGTCGCACAGAAGACGACGCTCATTCGCAGGCCGCCCATGACTGCGGGCAGGGGACGTGGCGGAGGGAGAGGTGTTGAGCGCAGGGAGCTGCCAGTGCTGCCAGAGCGCCGAAGCGAAGAGTGTCCAAGTGGCCGCGCGATGCCTGTGATAAAGCCCTGTCAACACCATGGACGTAAGTCTCGGCATCCTTCAATATTCATTTGCCCCATGGTCAGGATGCAGGCGATTGTGTATTAATGGATGTATATAGTGGCTCTGAGCCCAGCATGTGTACGAGGTAGAGTAGTCGTCAGTCCAGTCCCATGCATGCCCTTCAGGCACCCTGTGCACGATCGGCAGAGTAAATGGGCGCTAAGTCGAAGGGGCCAGATCATGTGCCTTCGTTTTCTACCTGGTCAAACAACCAACTCAACGTACTGACACGCAACGTACATCACTACTTATACATACTTTCACCACACTCGGGACTGCACCTTCCTGCACTTCAACGTCTAGCACCATTGCCTAGCTGATATGCAAGCTCTGCGACTCGGTGCCCGGCGACGCGTCTGCCGGCTCAGGACGGACCTCCCGCGACGTGCTCTATCTACTCTTCCTTCTGGACCTTCGTCTTCGCCTGCTCCTAGCACCTTGCCATGGTTTGTGGACCAGTCAGACCTTCCAGGATCCTCGTCACGACAACCCAACGCTACTCAGTCTCCCGCGAGACCCTCACTCCAAGCCCAGCAGCCACCGCTCCCCGCCGACATCCCGCCAGAGAGTCCCATCGCTCAGCTCCATGCCGCCCTGAGCAAATCACCACATCTCGAGCCAGGCATGCTCCGGGTCCGTGAGCCAATTCCAACAGTGCTGGGTCCGCCCTTGCCGGATTACCCGGCTAAGGGGCGCCGCAAGCGGGGACGGACGTACGCGGGCGAGGGAGTCTATGACTACACAGGCGGCGTCTGGAGTTGGATAGTGGTAGCGCAGGTCAGTACAGGCTACTTGGCTTCATCATAATCTTTACATTCGTGCTCGTTCAGGTGAAGGAAGGTACGGAGAAACGTGGTGCAATCGAGTCTGTCGTCAGAGTAGTCCGGAAAGTGGTGCGTAGTATCCCTTATGCGTAACCGCGGCTTTCTCAACTCGTATCGCAGCTCTTGACTTCTCAGCAGCCTCTACCACTGCCCCCGAACTCGAAACGACAGGTGAATGGCGGGTGGGCTATGATCGACGCTGGCGAGTTCGCGGTGCACGTCGTGAGCAAGGAAGCGCGAGAGAAGTTCTTCCCGGACGGCAGGCGCGAGTGGTCGCGGTAATTCATGTGTACGTACCGGACAGCTGTGCTCGTCCGCGCGGCGGAGTACTGCTCCGTCTTTGCTGTCGGTGTCGCGAAGTCGGCTTGAAGTTGCACAGGCGAAAGGGGACTATAGTAACTGGCCCCTAGCGAGAGGCTGTCAACACTGCGAGAGTGCACAACGAAACTCGTTGGTGCGCCGGACGTCGGGAGCGCCCTCACCCGCAGGCGAATTGTCTATGGCATGCGAGTTACTCAGACGCAATGCATGGGCCTGGGGCAGTGTTCACCGCCGTTCATTCACGTTCACCAGCACCTATATATGGGCCCTGCCTTACGTTCTCGTGCAGACGTATGACACTTGTGAGAACGGATGCCGTCGACTGAGGCGCGCGGTCTGCATTGCCCCGCACGAACAAAATCGTTGTCCATGGGCAAACCTAAATTCCAGCTATCTCTCCTTCACACCTTCAGTGAGTGCGGTTCGTCCTCCGTCAGCAATGCGTAGTATGCCGCTGACTGCACGTCCGCCAACAGTACCATCATGCCTCGCGCGCTGCCGCTAGAACTCACTGACTGGATCATCGACTTCGCATGGGAGGACCCACCGACTCTGCGGAGCTGTGCGTTGACTTGCCGGGCGTGGCGAGCTGCGAGTGAGCTCCATCTGCGGGCCTACCACAGCTTACAGATTTCCAACGTCGCGGATCTGGCGCTGGTATCGAAACGCGTCGCTCGGTCTGAAAGCAGACGGTTCCTCAGTGCCATCCATCTAATCAGCGTCGGGGAGTGCTCGGAGAGGCCATACGTGCACATAGTGCCGCTGTGCATCCCCGGGCGCTTCCTCCCGCAGCTTCGATGGATAATATTCTCCAACATTGGTCTACAGGGATCCGATGCCACAGTCGCACCGACATCCAATTGGCATCACAGCTTCTTCAGCCTCCTCTCGTCGTACAAGTCGGTGACGAACTTGATTATCAACGATAGTCACTTTCGTGACTTTCGTGACTTGCGCCGGATCGTCGACGCGCTCCCAGCACTAAAGGATGTCCATTTCATAGGACTACGCTTCCTAGGCGCATCTCCTGGCGGACAGCCGAGTCTGATCCAGGAGCCTGGACGTCCTCGAAGACGACCGTCGCTGCGCTACTTGCGATTAATGTGCCCGGTGCCTGATGGGCACGCTGAGACGGCTGGGTTATTGCTTTGTCTGCAATTGTTCTCTGGGGCTGAACAGATCATGACCGAGGCAGAACGTGGGACAGCAGCGTTTCCACAAGGAAACATGGCTGTGGCTCTTTTCCCTGTCTCTCGACTTGTGCTTCGGGCCACCGTCTCAGGCCGTATCGCGCTATTCTCGCGGATTGGCATAAACACAGCAGGCGCGTGATTATCCGTTCACGATCAGCGGGTGTGCATAATGCTCATAACCCGACTTTGCTGACGCGTTTGTAGATGCTACGAGCCTGGTACGCAACATACATCTCGAAGACATCGAATATACCTTCCAAATTCGAAAAGACTACGCCGATTTTCGGTCAACAATTCAGGCAATAGCGACCATGCTCTCTCAGGGCGTAGGCGAGAAAGTTACCAAGATATGCATCGAGCTTGTCCTCTATTTCAACGGTCTTGATGATTTCCTGTCGTATGAACCCTACGAGGGCCCCGCTCCCCCCCTTGACCTCGCCTCTGTACGTTCCGGACTGCAAAATGTGACCGCGGTGGAGCTGGTCATCCAGATGGTTCTGGACCGGAGTCCCACGCCTGTCACCGACGCAGCGACCAGAATCATCTCGCCGTTGTTCGCGCATTGGGACGCCCGCGGAATGCTCTCGGTTATTAATGGCGGGCGCCGTAGCGACCACGAGCATGAAGGCAAAATCTGAGACAGGCTGGGTGATTGCAGCGTAAGCTAGTGCCGTTCTCATCGCCATGGTCACATCAGCTCATATCCTCGCAGGGGAAGGAGGGGACAAAGAAGCTCAGACAGGGTGTGGTTGGGTCTACAGTGAGAGTCCTCCGGAAGGTGCGTGGCTGTTTTGTGGTGCATCGTCCGGCCAGTCGTTCATGTTGTGACGCAGTTGACGGGTTGGCCGCATCTAATCTTATTACTGTAGAATCCGAGATGGGGCCTAGAATTCTATGGGTGGGCTATGGCCACTTTGGAGTGCACGTCGTCACTTGGAGCAAGGGAGCACAAGTGTGACATGTCAACGGACAGCTCACAGTGTATAGATGTATTTGACGGTTTCTGCGCTCAAATTATGGCTAACATGCGAAGTTAACTGGCACGCCTACAAGTTGTAGCTCGGCCGCCACATTGGCGTTCGCCTCAATGCTCATGACCATCATGATCCAGGACGTGGTTCTGAGCCCTTCGAGAAGGATCACGAATGTCGTGTTCTCTGCAGAAATGAGCATAGCCATCCTGTATCGTAGCACTTGCGGGCCACGTACGTGCGTGTCATTCCACAATTTTCACATAGAAGACATTGTGAACAGCATCTTCAGCGTCAGAACGTCTCTCACGCCCTGAGTGCGGCCTCATACATCAAGCCACTGTACTTAGGAGTCGAGTACTCACGGTCAGCACCGCGACAGTGCCTCTCAGGCTCCATGAACCTAGTAAAGATGGCTGTGGCTGTCATCGAGACGCACACATATGTAGCTCCGCCATATTGCGGATGCTCTCCCCGCCCACCAACACCAGTGAGTCAGTAGTCTCCTACTTCGTTTTGTGTATGCCGCTGATCTTGACTAGCGGTAGCTATCCGTGCGAAGCCTAGCGCCATGCCTGCTGAGCTTACCGACCGTCACGGTATCATCGACTTTCATTGGGAGTCCTGGAACGACTCGGGCCCTCCGAGTCCTTACACCATGCCTCATTGGGACGACCCAATCCCTCCTTACACCATGCGGTTCGTCCTCGGTCGGCAACGCGTAGTACGCCGCTGACTGCACATCGGCCAACAGTACCATCATGCCTCGCGCGCTGCCGCCAGAACTCACTGACCGCATCATCGACTTCGCATGGGAGGACCCACCGACTCTGCGGAGTTGTGCGCTGACGTGCTGGGCGTGGCAAGCTGAGAGTTTGCTCCATCTGCGGGCCTACCACAGATTAGACATTTCGAACGTCGCTGATCTGGCTCTGGTCTCGAAACGCTTTGCCCGGCCTGAAAGCAGACGGTTCTTCCGCGACATCCAGGACATCCTTGTCTCTGAGTGCTCAGAGAGGCCGTACGTGCACATAGTGCCGCTGTGCATCCCCGGGCGATTCCTCCCGCGTCTTGAAAGAATGACATTCTTCGGCATTGACATGCGGAGATCCGGCGTCACAGTCGCACCGACAATCAATTGGCATCCCAGCTTCTTCAGGCTCCTCTCGTCGTACAAGTCGGTGACGAACTTGGAGATTTCTTATGGTTACTTTCGTGACTTTCGTGACTTGCGCCGGATCGTCGAGGCGCTTCCGGCACTAAAAGATGTCGCTTTCACTGGACTACGCTTCCTAGGCCCATCTCCTGGCGGACAGCCGAGTCTGATCCAGGAACCTGGACGTCCTCGAAGGCGACCGTCGTTGCACGAATTAACCTTCTTGTGGTCGGAGTCTGATGGGCAGTCTGAGTTATTGCTTTGTCTGCAATCGTTCTCTGGAGCTGAACGAATCGTGACCGATGCCAAAAGTGGGACGGCAGCGTTTCCTCGGGGGAACATGGGGGTGGCTCTTTTCCCTGTCTCTCGACTTGAGCTTTGGGGCATTGACATATACCATACCGTACCATCCTCGGGGCTTCTCGTAAATACAGCAGGCGAGTGATCATCCGTACCACGCTCAGCGGTTGTGCATGATGCTCATGATCCGAGTTTGCTGACGCGATTCTAGATGCTACGAGCCTGGTACGCAACATATATCTCGAAGAGATCGCATATACCTTCCTTATTCACAAAGACTACGCCGATTTTCGGTCAACAATCCAAGCAATAGCGACCATGCTCTCTCAGGGCGTAGGCGAGAAAGCTACCAAGATACGCATTGAGCTTGTCCTCCTTTTCAGCGGTCTTGATGGTTTCCTGTCCTATGAACCCGACGAGGGCCCCGCTCCCCCCTTTGACCTCGCCACTGTACGTTTCGGACTGCAAAATGTGACCGCAGTCGAGCTGGTCATCCAGACTTTTCCAAAATGGAGTCCTACGCCTCTCACCGACGCAGCGACCAAGATCATTTCGCCGTTGTTCGCGCATTGGGACGCCCGCGGAATGCTCTCGGTAATTAATGGCCGGCGCCATAGTGACGACAACGATGAAGGCGAAACCTGAGACAGGCTGGGTGATTGCAGCGCAAGTTAGTGCCGTTCTCATCGCCACAGTCACATCAGCTCATATCCTCGCAGGGAAGGAGAGGACAAAGAAGCTCGGGACCAGGGTTTGATTGGGTCTACAGTGAGAGTCCTGCGGAAGGTGTGTGGCGGTTTCGTCGTGCATCGTCGGGTCAGTCGCTCATGTTGTGACGCAGTTGACGGGTTGGCCGCATCTAATCTTATTACTGTAGAATCCGAGATGAGGCCTAGAATTTTATGGGTGGGCTATGGCCACTTTGAAGTGCACGTCGTGACTCGGAGCAAGGGAGCGCAGTGTGACGTGTCAACGGACAGCTCGTGTATAGGTGTACGACGGTTTCTGCGCTCAAATTATGGCTCGAATGCGAAGTTACGCTTGTCAGTTGCAGCTCGATATGTCGGCCGCCATATTGGCGTTCACATCAATGCTCATGACCGTCCTGGATGCAGTTCTGGGCCTTTCGAGAAGGATCGCGGATGACAGAATGCCAAAATGAGCATAGCCATGCTATCGCGCCACTTGCAGGCCACGTACGTGCGTGTTGATTCACGATGAATCAGATAGAAGACATTCTGAACAGCATCTTCAGCGTCAGAACCTCTCGCACTCTGAATGCGGCCTCGTGCACCAATTCACTGTACTTGGTCTGGGAGTGGAATGCTCTTCAAGGTAAGAACCGAGACAGTGCCTCTCAGGTCCCAGGAAGTCGGTAAAGATAGCTGTGTCTGTCATCGAGACGCACGCGGCACACCTATGTAGCTCCGCCATACGTTGGATACTCCCAGACTCCCCGCCCACCCAAAACCAGTGAGCCAATACCTTCCTGCTTCAGTCTACATATTTGCTGACCTCGACTGGTGGCAGCCAGCCATACGATGCCTCGCGCCCTGCCCGCCGAACTCACTGACCGCATCATCGACTTCCATTGGGACGAGCCACCAACCCTGCGGAGCTGCGCGCTGACCTGCCGGACGTGGCGGGCTAAGAGCGAGTACTATCTCAAGGCTTACCATTCGCTCTTCATCCAGAGCGTCGCGGATCTAATTCTGCTGTCAAAGCGTTTCGCTCGGCCTGAAAGCAGGCGGTTCTACCGTGATATCAAGGATATGGACATCCTGGAGAGCGATGAAAGACCCTTTACCCGCATCGTGCCGCTGTGTATCCCGGGATCATTCGTGCCGAGGCTTAGAACCATAAGAATATGGTCCTTGAAACGGCAGGGGCTTTCAATTGGCAACCAGTGGCACCGCAGCTTTTTCAGCCTCCTTTCGGCGTACAAATCCGTGACGCGCTTGTCCGTGCAGCACAGTCAATTCCATGACGTGGAGGAACTACGGTGGATCATCAAAGCCCTTCCAGCACTTAGGGACATCGAATTGACGGGTGTAGACTTCCCTCATCCTCCCCCGAGCCTGGCCACGAATCGGCTTGAGTTTGGTCGCCGTTCAGAGGGGCGACGTCAACTTTATTACCTGACTCTTCGTTCTGGCCTAATTCCACATCCCTATCACCGGGTTTCAAACTGTCTCCCTGCGCTGTTGTGCTGTGCGCAACTGTTCTCGGAGATTGAACAACTCACGGTGGATGCGGAACACGGAATAACAGCCTTATCGCGGGAGAACATGCACTTGGCTCGTTTCCCCATCTTCCAGCTCACAGTTGCGTACACCATCCCTAGCATGCATTCTGATCTTGCAGCCCAATGGTATCGCCGGCTTCAACTAGATGTTGATGGGAAGGACGGCTGGATTCATCGTTGTCTTCTCCCAAAAGATGTTTCTGAGACCTCAGACTCTGCTGCAGGTAAGTTGTTATGCATTGAGGAAATGAGTGCGCATTCATAGTTTAAGCCAGGTGACTCGGACGGCGCTGCTACGCGGCTAACGCACAACATGCACCTGGAAGCGGTCGAGTACATGATATATGTTGAACAAGACTACAGTGATCTCTCTTTGACAGTCCAGACCATCGTGGCCATGCTCTCTCGAGGCGTAGGCCAGTACGTCAGCAAATTATGTGTCTCGTTATACTTCCTGAAGGAAGACTTCCTGCCGTATCCAGACGGCTTTGGGAGTGTCATTCCGCATCCGCTCTCGCGCGAAACAGCACTAGTGCGAGGCGCACTGCAGCATGTACAGAAAATCAGTCTGGACATCCATAACCTTCGCATCGGCCCGGGACAGAACGTGCCAACACCTGTCACCAGCGCAGCGGCTAGGATCATCCCGCCATTGTTCCCGCATTGGACTGCCAGTGGCGACCTTTTGGTTGAATATCCGCCGTTCGATGGGCAGGATGGGCAGTCGCGCGAAACCACCGACCTCCAACACGCGACTGACGGCGATGTTACAAGCCTGAGGCAGTCCCCGCACCATGTATAGGCAGCAATGCCTGACGTCACGCCGCTGGGCCACACCGTGGGCAGCCCCAGCGACTGGACACCATTGCGTCACGCTCCCCGACAACTCCTTCACCATGATGCTCCTCCCTCGCCCCTCCTCCAGCGCTCTGCACTTATAAATATTCTCCACCCACCGTTTGACGGTCCAACTTGACGACCCATCCTGACGGCCCGCTATCACGACCACCAAACTCGCTCACAACCAACACATATCGCAACCATGTCTCTCAACGACAAGGATGTCACGCTCGGCGGCAACAAGGGCATCGACCTCCACCCCGGCGTCGCCAACCCCACCAGCTCGTCGACGCACGCCGATCCGCTCGCCGCCAACTTCGTACGGGTTTCCCGATACTTCCCCATGACGCTCACAGGCTGACCGTTGCGTCGTGCAGGTCACGGACCCGACGTCTGACGACGTCGGCGCAGGCGCAGGCCCCGACTTCTCCGGCGACCGGGAGGCGGCGCGC